ATATTTTGTTTGAATGCAAATGGTGGTACCGGCAAGTTTCACACCCTGAGAAATTTAGAGCCGTGTGCCGGGATGGAGTGATCTCATATCCTACGTGTGAATGTAAGTGCTCGGTGCCCAGGACACAGCAGGGCTGCATGAGGAAGCTTTGCTGAAATTACCTGTCCACTGCTCTGAGGAGCCCCAGTGGTGTGTGTCAGGCTTGGTCTTCAGTCTTTTTCCTCTTGTCTCTCTTCCAGACGCAGGGGTTTTTGGATGAATGGAAGTGGCACAAAGGATTCCAGCTCTGGCAATGAAGGATCTCCACCGACCTTGTGATTTGAGCTTAATTTTTCCTGGCAATTCCCATTCTCTTGTGTTTTCTTTGCAGCTTAGTCAATGTTCCGTCTTGGAATTTGTCATGGCTTTTATGATTAGATGATTGCTTTTACATTTTATTCACATCCTTTTTACGTAAATGTATTTACATTTTGTAAATGTGTTTACATTTTGCCTATCCAAACGGCTGTGTTTGCATTTTATTCATTCTTCATTGATCTCATTGTTAGTTTTATTAACCATCGTGTCCTGAAATAGGCTGGCTTTGCTGGCATACAGAGACAGGAATTAAAGCCTGCAGGTACTTTGGTCATTAGCAAGTAGAGTGCATTTGGCCTTATCCTAGCTCCTAACTTCAACTCCATTCACTTCCCCAAAAACTGTCCTAGGGTCATGGCAGAGGTGAGTGTTCTGACCACTTGGTCAGGAAGAGGAAGTATGTGGAGTCTACTTTAAATCACTCAGGGAATTCTCTAGATCACAGACCCAGTTCTTATGGGTCACTTGAGCCTACCTGACATTTGATGGAAGGACAAAATATTGGGATGCGAGTAATGGCGATGGCTGGATAGGAGTGGGGTTGACTTCTTGGTCCAGGTCTTGGATGGGCCAATCTGCACAGTGCACAGCTCCATCTGCTGTTCGCTAACAAGGAAGACCTATCTGAGGTTGTAGAAATCAGTGGCAATCTTGGATGTGGTGACCATGCATTCATTTATTTTGTGATTCATGGGAGAGAGAGCAAAACAGGTAGCTGAGTAAATCATGTACCTTAGGAGAGCAGATTTTGGCTTATTTGGGAAACAAGTAGGTGGATTGCTTGGGAGAGTGGTAGAGGAGTCCAGAAAAGCTTACAAGTCTTTGAAGGACAGAATCTTCCAAGAACAAAAATATTCAATTCTGGCAGTCAGGAGGAAAACAATATTTATCAGGACTCTGCCTTGACTAATCAGGGACTTGTAGATCTTTGAAGTAGAAATCAGTGTACAGGCAAAAAAGGAGTTACAAGTTCAACTGTCTATGGCATTGACAGCCTATATGAATAGTGCTAAGAAAGCTGAAACTTCCCTAGAATGACACTTGCAAGGGCCATCAAGGGTTCGAAGAAGATATTCTATTACTACACTAGCATTAAAACAATAAAAATGTGACCTGTCACTATATGAGATAGGTGATTTGCTGACAGCAGCCCCACATGGAGCTCAAGTACTCGATGCATCCTTTGCCTCAGTGTTTATCAACAAGATGCTGTCTTCATTTCTGTAATCCACCCCATCCTGTCCTCTGCTCACAGATGAACATCCAGTGTTACGTGTACATGCAGCGGGTTTGTGTCACTAAAGGACCTCAGAGGCTTGGGCACACTCACTGGGAGCTGTTTTGCTGTGGCAGTGTTCTCGGCAATATGGTGCTGAGGATGTAATGCTCACAGGGATGCTCACAGGGATAGCAACCTTAGGCCCCAAAGTAAGCAAAAGCATTTGCGTTCTTTGAAATATGTTTTAGGTTAGTGTTGTTTCTGTCTGTATCTAGTGAGGATGCATGTGAGAGCAGCAGAAGTGAAATTAAAAAAAGGCTATTTAAGTTACCTTTTCTTCTGTGGTAACAGATTTAAGAATTAGATTGCCAAATCATATTCAGTTAGTTCCTGTCTCTCAGTATTTTACCTTAGTGCACAATAGAATTCCTTCCTTCTTAAGAAAACAGGCAAAGTATAATCACTTCTGATTATATGTTTTAATAAATTAAGGTAGCATAAGTTTTGCTAATGGAATGAAATATTAATGGCTTAATTAAAGAGACAGTATGGATTTAACAATTTTCATGGTCAGTAATTTTTTTTTTCTTTAATCTTTATTTTTTGTCTTAGGATGCTCTTTCTCTTTTGCATGCTTGCTTAGTGAAAATCAGGGTACAGAGGTTCTCTTCATATAAAATCTTACATGTTTTTCCTCTGGTTTGTTGAGGTTTGGGGGCTGGAATAGAAAGGCAGTTTATGTTATAAATGTAAGTATCTCTTTTGTATCTTTCTAGTTCTGTTACAATGGTATGTATTTTTGTATGCATCTTATTTTATAAAACAAACATCCTCAATAATCTAACTAGTAGGTCTCTCCATCAGCCAGCATTTTATCTGACAATATTATTTTCCTTAATTTCACAGAAATAGAGATATCTATATTGCAGTGTTGAAGCTGGTGTATACTCTTTTAAGGAAAACAGTGTGATATTTATTTCCTTTATTAAAAGGAGGTGGAAGTCACCATTTCCCAGATGGTGGAAGCATATCTATTTTCAAGACAATCAGCATCACTCAAATAATCTCAAATTTATACCAAATAGTGACTGTACTTTTTTTTATAATCGTGATAAATGAGGAGGGAGTTTTGCATGTTTATAGGTAATATTTCCATCTGATAATCTGATGGAGAATTTGAGCTATTCTTGATTGATATTTTGCTGGCTGTCTGACAAGTTGACTGATGCCAGCAAAGAGCTCTTTACTTTGTGATCATCTTGACTTAGTTGTTTTATGCAGGCATACGGATGGATGCCATATAGCACTGCAGACACTATTGCTGTTGATGCTTGGTTGCAGATGTAATACATTAAGATTGATTTAGTTGCATTTCATTCACATTGAAATAAGGAATATTCCTTCTTTTTTTTTTTCTGTTCAGAATTTCTAGAATTCCAAATATTTTTTTTCTTTTTCTCCTTTAATTTTTAGGTAGAAACACTTTCATACACGTCTAAGACCAGAAAGGAGAAGACTGAAGTTCTTACTTTAAGCTTCAGCAGGAAGCAGGTGAAATTTCTCAGCATGATCATGGGACAGACACCTCAAGGCTGTGAACTGCTGTCTACCCAGAACTCCCTTTGAAAGCAGTGGGACTGTTAGGCTAACATACTATATCCACATTTAATACCATTCAGCTGTGACATATCACTGTGATCCTAGGAAGAGCAGAGCAATGGAAGTCTACTTCCAGGATGGTGGAAGGTGTGTCTTCCGTGTTTCCACACAAGGTGTGCCAACAGCTCCAAATCACGAACTGAGAACATATTTTCAGATGTGTTACAAGAAGAACTGAAAAGGCACAATGTGTTTTAGTGCACTAAATGTTATAGATGCATAACATTTACAGAAAATGAAGCTTATTTTTGGCAGTAAACAAAACCAGATTCTTCATAGGCTGTTTTAAAACTGGAAGACAAATTACCTTTGCATTCTGGTGGTCATGACTAGTTTCCTTGCCTACAAATTACTCTTCATCCTGGAGAAGGCTGGTTAGCCTAAAAAAGGGGAGCTCAGAGGGGATATCATCAATATCTCTAAACACCTGAGGGGAGGGTGCAGAGAAGACGGACCCAGACTCCTTTCAGGCGGCCAGGACAAGAGGCAATGGACACAGACTGAAACACAGATTCCTTCTGAAATTCAGGAAATACTTCTCTTGCCTAGGGAGGTTGTGGAGTCTCCTTCCTTGGAGATATTCAGGAGCACTCTGGACATGGTCCTGGACAGCCTGCTCCAGGTGATCCTGCCTGAGAATGAGGGCTGATGACCTCCAGAGGTCCATCCTGTGATTTGTGAATGCTTGTGCTCAGGGACAGAACTCCGAAGCCTATCATTTGCCTACTCGAGTATAAAGCATGGTGCTGTGGCTTTCTCAGACAAGCACAGAATTATGATTGTGTGCAGCATTTTGACTGTTCATTTGTTAATGAACTAAACCCTATTCTGTCTCAGTCTTCTGAACAGCCTGAGCAAATTGCAGCATCCACCCTAAGTGAAAGAAAACCACCAAACTATTTGACTGATCAGTGTTTCCCAATGCCATTTTTTATTACATTATAAAATACAAGACAGTCTCTAGAGTGAAAGAAAATCAACGGCTGTACATTTAGGTGGTGTGGTCCACTTCTTCCCTATTTCACAGGTAATAACCAGCCATCTGGTAACAACAAAAAGGGGTTCCACTGATAACTAGATTCGTAACTCTTCCTGCGTTTTCCTCTACGGATACATGAGGTTCCTGGGAACCTTTCATATGCTGTCTCTGAAAATGACCAGACAGCAGATGTGAATGAGAATAGCCTTTGTTTATGTGACTGAACCATTTGTAACACTTTGGCTGCTCATATTGGTTAATTGAGTGCAAAAATGTCAGTCAAAGATCTGTGTAATCTATGGGTTCATTTGCTGCTGAAATTTAGACTGAGATAACCAGCAGTAGAAGCAAATTTCTGCTGGACTCTCACTTGCTGTCTGCACTACCATAACAAAGCACTATTTCTCTTTCCAATAAGATTAATATAAAGCAACTCCTTTATTTTATTAATAACAGAAGACATCTCTTGGGCACAAGTAAGCTTTATGCATTTTGTAGATTGGAAACCAAAGCATGGATCTGAGATATTTTGTCACGGCCACACTGTGTGCATCCACGCCAAGAACTGCATCACGGTCATCGCAGCCAGAACCCTGTCCTCACTGTCTGTTTTAGAAAAGAAATCAAACTGTTCTTGAGATCCTGCATCCTGAAACTGGTATTTCTCAGTAACCTGAGTAAAGCCATAAAATTACCTTAATTTTCCTTAATTCTGCTTTGCATATTAAAGTATCAAGTTCCTTATTCATTTCTCACATGTATGCTCTCACCCACAAAATAAATACTGAACTGTGACACTGAATAAAGGACTGAACTTTTAATTCACTGGTGGTAGGGAAACTACTTATCTGAACACTATTCTTGCAGTGAGAAAAACACATCCTTGTTTACCAGAAAGTTTATGGTTACAGCCAAAGAAAGTAATTCCATTGTATCTTTTTGCCAGAGGCAGGGAAAGAGGGGAGAAAAAGATGGTGGTGGTGTATTTGGCTTTTATGTTTCTTTGTTTGCTTCTAACTTCCTAACTTCACAGGGATTTTACATTGGCTGATGTGCTGTCACTGGTATTCTCAAGAAAACAGTTGCAGCTGGATTCCCAAAATGCCTCACAATAAAAGGAGCTGCAATGAGGTGGCAGTAGGGCAGTGCTCTGCTCTCCTTCCAAGGCAGTAAGACTCGCTTTAAAAGTGTGAGGACTCCCAGCAACGTCGCTTCAGGGCAGCAGTACAGGAGGTGCTCAGAAGAGTCTTTGCATTTGTACAACTTGGATTTCATGATGGTTTTTTTTTACTTGGACTTTTCAGTACAGGTGAGTTAGCTGATCACTATCCTGTTTCTCACTGTATTATCTGTATTCATAATAATGGTTAATATTGTTCATGTTCGTACTGTCAAGCTTTCTTCTCATTCTGTTACTAACACTGCATACAGTTTTCTTGTATTTCCACCAGGTCGCCAGTTCTGCTCTTTGTCTATAGCCAGGGTAGGATGTTCATCATTAACAGCAATGAATTTAAATCCCTATTTCAAATACTCTTCCTCACAATTTTGGGTTTTTTTTTTGATCGATTTCCTGTCAGGTGTGATTAGAGAAACAGTGTCTTTTACCTCATAATGTGGCTCATGAAGAGTTTTTATTAGAAGCATCAGATTTGTCACTTTCTTGTTTGCTCGTGTGTTATCTTCTGTGTTGTTGAAACTAAATATAATCCACAAAATAAACTTAAATGGGCACATATAAACTACAGTGCATTGCAATACGCTGAAGGTGAATGAATGAGTGAGGGTGCCGCTGTGAACAGCTCTGCACTGTGGAGCACTTGATCTCCCCCATCAGCACCATATGTGACATGGAACCCTATCACATGCAGATCAAGTGAAGTCACCAATGTGAAATCTTTTTTTTTTCCTTTGGAAAAAAAATAATTATAAATAGAAGTTTAATATTTTCTTCGTGCAACTCATTGGATCAAATTCCAAACCCCACACAGTGCCTATTCCCCACTTTGGAGCCCATTGTTCTAAATGACATTCAGTGTCAATTTATTTGCTCTTAAGCAGAAGGACCCCCTCCCCTCCAGGTCCTCACAAGAAAAGACCTGTCTGTGCTCACAAAGTCAGGTCAACTTTGCTATCTTCACATCACAATCTAAGACAGATCTTTGGTTATGGGATGGTCAAAGCAGAGATTTAGCTGTTTTGAAATATCCATTAGCATCCAGCAAAGGAAACAACAAAGGTATTTCTTTTTTTCTTCGCAGAGAAATCAGCCTGTACTAATACTCCACATGAATATTAAAGAGTTAAATTCCTGTCTCCGTATGCCACCAAAGCCAGCTTATTTCAGGACAAGATGGTTAATAAAAGTAACAATGAGATCAATACAGACTGGATAAAATGCAAACAAAACCATTTGGGTGTCCAAAATGGAAACAAGTGCAAACACAATTATCTGATCATAAAAAACATAGCATATTCCAAGATGGAACATTGCCTAAGCTGCAAAGAAAACACAAGAGAATGGGAATTTCCAGGAAAATTAAGCTCAAATCACAAGGTCGGTTGAGGAATCCTTAACTGCCAGAGCTTTTGTGCCACTTCCATTCATCCAAAAACCCCTGCGTCTGGAAGAGAGACAAGAGGAAAAAGACTGAAGACCAAGCCTGACACAAACCATTGGGGCTCCTCAGAGCAGTGGACAGGTAATTTCAGCAAAGCTTCCTCATGCAGCCCTGCTGTGTCCTGGGCACCGAGCACTTACATTCACACGTAGGATACGAGATCACTCCATCCCGGCACATGGCTCTAAATTTCTCAGGGTGTGAAACTTGCCGGTACCACCATTTGCATTCAAACAAAATATACTCCCCAGTGACGAAGGTAGAGGACCTCAACCACCTTGATGACTGCAGTTGAATGTGGTTCCTTTCCATCAACCTTTCATTCAGGCTACAGTCTCCTGAAAAAAGTACTTTCATTATTTGCCTGTAGACCTCATAATGGATAACCAGTGCTCTGGAAATGATGGCCCTCTGCTAGCTCAGGTGCAGCCATCAACAGCATTACCCTTCACTGCCTGAAGCTTGCAGGATGCTCCCACACCCTGGTTCCCCACTAGGCATTCTCCCAGGAAACCTAAAGGCTTTGCCCTTGGCTTCAGCACTGAAAATGCAGTAGCACTGCACTTAAGCTCTGCCCGAAGTGGAGGTGACTTACTTGCTGGCTTGCACTGGGGATATTCTAATGTCCCCTCCAAACACTCTACTCTGAATGGGGAAGAGGCTGGGTCCTCCATAAAGCCTCTTTTACACCGAAATTCAATAAAGTCACCCGATCTGGAATACAGCTTTCTTCCCCTGGTCCATTTCAGCTCAATATTGTTTCTGCCCATGTCTTCTTCAGATGCTGTACAGGCCACTAGAAAAGGCAAAAGAAGAGTGTCATCATTCCGTGCAGACTCACCACATA